CACAAGTCCCGTCTGGTTCAGGAATGGCTTGGGGAGCAGGAGTATGCGGTGCTGGAATGGCCCTCCTCCTCCCCGGACCATAACCCGATAGAGCACCTGTGGGCCCACTTGAAGAGGGAGCTGGCCTAGTACGAAAAGCCTCCCTCTGGAATGTTGGAGCTGTGGGAGAGGGTCCGGGAGGAGTGGGACAAGATCCCTGCAGAAGTCTGCTCAAACCTCATTGGCAGTATGCTAAGGATGGTGAGGGTGGTGATTAAGGCAAAGGGGCGATGGACTAGGTATTAGAAGTCTTGGTTTAAAGTTTGCTGCCTGTCCTCGGAACAAATTGTCCGGATGTCCTCTTGGTAAATGATTAGGAGCTTGGCAAACGCCTTGTGTACTTCTCTTGTACCTAACCTATAGGTTCTCCTCTAAAAGTGTATGCTCATGAAAGATTAAGGCTTAGTGTTCTTTGACTACAGGGACTTCAAACCTTCAATTGTGCTCAACATCCGGACAATTTCTTCCGTCACTGTATTTTGACCTACTAGTTCTAGTCCGCATTAGTGGGCTGTTGCCCGACCTCATTCTAGGACATTATTACTGGGCTCCAACCCACTTCGACATAGTTCTAGGTCGTGTTGTAGGGCTCTAGCCCGTTTCGACTTGGTTCTAGGTCGTTTAAGTGGGCTTTGGCACATTTAGACCAAGTTCTATGTTGATTTAGGGCTGCAGCCCACTTGGACCTAGGTCTAGGTCGATTTATAGGGCTGCAGCCCATTTCGACCTAGATCTAGGTTGATTTATGTTGCTGCAACCCATTTCGATGTAATGCTTGGTTGATATATTGGGCTGCATCCCATTTCGATTTTCGGTTTGCTGTTTTTCCGGAAGCCCCTTTTTATTTATTTTGTATCCTTCTATAATTTGTGTTCACTGTCTGTTTCTTATCTTATTTCTTGCCTTATCTCTTGATTTCCTCTCATTATCCTTGATTCCTGTATGTTTGGCACAAGATTTCAAGCACTCGTGAAAGATGGAGAGTGGCTTGAAATATTTCAAATATCTAAAAAAAAAAATAGTGTTCCTCTTTTAGCTCTAGTTCATTTTCTTCATTTCTTTTACAATATGCTTCCCTCCCCCCTCTAAGTTTGTGTTTTTCTTGGGTCATTTTTTCTTTTGTTCTTCCCTTTTCCACATCGTCTTGTCGTCCTATTCCTTTTTTGTTTCCTTCTTTCTTTCTTTTCCCGTATTTCCCTCCTCTTCTTACTTCTTCTTGCTTTCCCTCTTTCCCGCCCTTCAGATTGTTCTTCCTCTACTTTCTCAACACTTATCTTTTGTTCCTTCTGGCTCCATACAATTGTCTATGCTGCTCCTTTTTGCTTCTCTTTTGTTTATGATTTCTTCGTTCCTTTCTCCTGTTTTTGCTCCACTTTTACTCCTTCCTTAGCTTTATCCTCTAACATTCCTTTTTTACTTCGTTCATATCCCCATGATTCATGCTCCTGACCTTTCTTTTCTCGTTCACTGAGCCCTTATTTTCTTTTTCTTTTTTCTCTTGTTTTCATTTCTCACTGCTGGTCATTCTCATGTTGCATCATCCACACGCACTAGTCATATTCATTATTTCACATACATAAAACACCATCGACTCTCATTTTTTCGTTTTGTTTTGCCTGCAGTTTTTTATGAGTGGATTTGGGTTGTAAATGGTTTGCAGGTGCATTTTGTTGGGATACGTTTTATAAGGAGACCTTCCAGTCTTGTACGACACTTGTAGATGTGTTGCACCTAGTCAATGGTTTCATGCTTATTGTTTGCTTCTCTAGGTTTGATTTGCTTCTTGCCTTCTCTCCCCATTTCATTAGCAATGCATTTTTGTGTTTTTCAAAAAAGGAAAACTTGACCTACATTCATAACATGTTCGCTAACGCGCTCCTTCATAGGTTGAGGTTTCTTTTTGGATGTCACAAACTATGTTGCTTCATGTCATAGTAAAAAAATCAAACTTTGGGTTTGCTGACTAACCAGTGGGGTAGGGGCGATTTGCATGCATGACCAGGAAGCGCATGTTCCGTTCGTCGCTGGCGAAACGGTTTCGTGAAATATGCGATGCTGATTACTAGCCGGATTCGAGCCCGGAACCCTTAATGTAACCCCCCTTTACAGTCTGCCTCCAGGAATGTGGTGGCAGAGAAATTTACAGCCATTTTCCTACATCGTCTCTGTGATTGTAAGATTCCGCCCTTGGGTGTTTTGTTAGCTATCTAGCCGTACGCAGGGTTCCAAGTACAGGGCAGTACCGGCCTCGAACCCTCCTTTTGCAGCCTTGTATAAAAGTTCACTTTGAGAACAGGCCAAACAGGGTAAAACAACCTGATTTTATGGGGCCTGGCCGTTTACCACTTTCTCTGCCTTATCTCCTCTTCCTATTGCCCTTGTTCCTTTCTATGCCATCCTTGAGTGGAGAAACTAAACCCCTCCCCCCCTCACCATTGAGTGAGGGGGTGTTCAAAGCGGGGTCTCGACGTCCGTCTTCGGCACGAAGCGGTTTCTTCAAATTTCAGAATGGTTCGTACGGCTCGAGTCGTGCCTCAGGGCGTCTCCCAAAAAGTCATTTTCACAAAATACCCTACTCAACCGTTCTAGAATCTTATTCGACTCTTCTAGAATGCAAAATAATCTTACGAACCGCAGTCGGACATACTGTTATGACACTCCCTTAGAGATCCACCGATTTCGACCGCTGGGTTGGAGCCAACCCGGCGCCGACTTGCTCGCTAGTGTGCATTGCATGTCTCGGACAACAACTTCCGAATGAACTTCTAAATGAGTCATTCTACGTTCTGCCGCTCAGAAGTAGAAATAATCGCTCTTGCCAAACAACAATTGCCAGAGCCAAGGGCCCATACTCGAGCTTCCAGTAGCATGATGCCCGCGATCGTGGCGCGATGGAGCGCGCAGCCCTTCTTGGCGCGCTTTTTCTTCTGACGTGTCTCGTGGCCTCCCAAGTCGAGGGCATTCCCCTCGCTAACTCCTAGGGTGTGTGCCTCTTAGCACCTAAGTTGAGGTCTAGCTCTGAGGCAAAAGTGAGCCTTTGATGTACATGATATGTCGGTAGGCCGCCGAATTGGAGAACGTTCAAACGCTGGTTGGGGGGGGTTTGTACCACGAATCCGATACGGAATACTTCTGCTCCTGCTTGCGCCACCCACTGAAATGGATGCGCGTGGCGTGGGTAGGGTCGTAGAGGGATGCTTCACTCATCTTTCCTCCTGCGCCCATATTCGTTCCTTGTAATGGGCAGCAGGTTTAGCTGAGTGCGCGTTTTTGGAAAACGCAAAGTGAAGCATCTAAGTTCCCCTCTGTTGCAATCCCTCCCTACCTTCCTAGCGAAGGTGCTGGTGGACTTTCAGAAGGCATGGAACACAACGATTGAAGGCTAGGTTGGTGGGGACTGCCACACCAGGAGCAACGTCACGTGCGATGCCCATGGCATGATTACAGAGATGTGAGTCACGGTCACGCATAGAGGATGCAAGTCTAGAATAGTAGGACCTTGTTGGCCTCCCCATCCTGCCCTCCTGCCTCGCTCCAACCAACCTTCATTCCTCTCAACCCCCCCATCCCTCACCCTCTCCCTCTCTCGCCTCATGGGAGAAAACTACCGGCGAAATGCGCGGATGTGGCATTTCTCCTGCCAAAATGTGCTGGATCTCGCGTTTTGCTGCCGACATGCGTGGATCTGGCGGACATTTAGGCTTTCTTCTTTTTAAAAAGTTGTTCCAGAATGTAAAAAATATATATCGGCGTTCCTTCCCCCAAAAATCACTGGAAAAAAATGATAGAAAAAATAGGCCAGCCATAATTTTCAACCTTGGCCGCATGCGTCACCAACTCCCTCGTGTCGGATTTCAATTGGCCTAGACTCACCATGGTGCACCAGGTGCTTGGTTGAGTGAATTATGCAAGCTAGTGCTATCATGGAGCACAAGGTGCTTGGTCAGATTGATTTTGCAAGCTAGAGTCAGTATGAGGCATTAAGGTTCTTGGTCGGGTGAATCTAGGCTTGAGAAACTAGACCCCGTTTGGATCGGGCCGACCCTCTTTGTAGCCTGAATCGACCATGTCAGGTCCAGTTTTACCCGTCGGTTGTAGTCGACCCGCGACCCGACCTGTCGGTTTTGCTCGGGTCAAGTCGGGTCAACCCAATTTGAATTCGGGTTGCGCACCGACCGAAGGGGAACAGTGCGGCCTGAACCGTGATGGTAGGGAAAGTATCAACCATAAGGTCGGATGGGGGAGTGGGGGAATGCAGTGGATAACCCTAAACCTAAAACATCCCAAAAATTCAGGGCCCTAAGAAAGGGGCGTGACGAGTGACACGCACATCTGCCCCAAAGCCGACCCAACCCGACCTCCGTGCTCGGGAATGATATGACCCGACCTATTTTAGCCTGGTCGGATCAAACAAATGCTAGGGTCGACCCCACCCCGACCCGACCCAACCCGATCTGAACCCGACATGTGGTTGAGCAAAGTTGGGTTGGGTCAGGTCTGGTCAATCCATTGCTAAAATCATAGGTGGATTATGCAAGCTAGAGTCGCCACGGGGCTGGAGCTGCTTTGTTGGGCGGATTATGCAAGCAAGAATCGCCACGGGGCCCGAGTTGCTTTGTTGGGAGGAGTATGCAAGCTAGAGTCTCCACGGGGCCCGAGGTGCTTTGATGGGTGGATTACGTGAGCTAGAGTCTCCTCGGGGCCCGAGGTGCATTGTTGGGCGGATTACGCGAGCTAGAGTCGCCACGGGGCCGAAGGTGCTTTGTTGGGCGGATTACGCGAGCTAGAGTCGCCACGGGGTCCAAGGTGCTTTGATGGGCGGATTACACGAGCTAGAGTCGCCACGGGTTCCAAGGTGCTTTGATGGGCGGATTACGCGAGCTAGATTCGCCATGGGGCCATCAACGGTTAGGTCATCCATCTCAGGGGATATTAAATCATTCTTACGAGCATCCGTTTTAATTGACAAGAACAGTTTACTCTTACCTGATGGAAAAGAGATAAAGCTGTCATCCCGCCTGACCGTCTGCACCATGTGTACCACTGCTAATCAGCTACATGAACCCGTTTCAAGTCACTTTCCAGGATCGATTTGCTACACGCTTATGCAGACAGTCTACAGTGACATCCTGAACTTACCTGAAGCTGGGCCTAAGGGGGAACTCTATATAATATACTTTTATCAAAGCTTGTACTCGCTACATTTGGACTGTCAACATCCCAGCTCGCCATATGGCTCACTCCATTTTCGTCGCATGGCTTGCAGTTGCTGAGAGAGAGTCGAAGGAGAAGCTCCAAGAATTTCAAAGTGACGGAGCAGGAGAGTATACCAGTAACACGTGCAGTGAGTATCTTCAAACCCTATGCATCAAACGCCGAGGGTCCCTGCCACATCAACAGCAACAGATGGGGGTAGCGGAGTGGATGAACAAAACTTTACAAGAGAAGAAGCGAGTTTCTCTAACTCAGGCAGCACTTCCACCGCACTTTTGGACATATGCCTTGGACCATGCAGTTCTTCTGCACAACTTTTTGTCCACAACGTCTCTTCCACAATTTTCTTGGCCACACCTGTAGTGGACAAAAACAGTTGGCAACACCGGATTTTAAGATTTTTTGGTTGTATCATCCATTACCGTCCTCCAACTGCAGCACTCGGATTTTTTTTAGAACGGGCTAAGTAGGGTATACATCTTGGCACCGAGATGCGGTTTTACGCTTGGGAGATTATGGATCTTTGCACGAGTCAAATCTTACCATCACGTGATTGTCTTTTCTACGAACGACTCACCTTACCTATTTTTCGTGCTCACCAGGAAGCATCTGCGAACCCTGTCAGGTTGTTTGAAGGCTCGCAGTGAAGCTGAGACAGATGCACAGGATGAAGCAGTTGCCGACAATTTTGAAGCAGCTGCCACAAACATCCCCATGCCAGCCACGTCAGCCGGAACCGCTGAATTCATCCCACTCAGCGAAGCTGCTTCTGAAGACGTCCGAGACATTATTCTTGATTGCTAACATGATCCTTAGCAGCAGCCAATGCCCGGTGTCTCCAAACCAGCTATCCGTGTGACACCTGGCAAAATTGGGGGGGAACAGGGGTCAGAAGACAATTTCTCCGGTGTCAACTCCAATCGTCCTCGTTTTACAGAAACAGGATTACAAGTTTTGGGACTCGCAGTTGCAGCACAGTCGAACATCAATAAGATTTCAGAGATGAAAACTGTTCGCCAAGATTTGAGCAGTCCACACAGGGAAAAATGGCGGGAAGCCATGGACCAGGAGTTCAGGGCTCTGGAAAAGTGAGGTACATGGGATAAAATCTCACTTAAAGAAGTCAAGGGGAGTAAGGTATTTACCGGCAAATGAGTTTTTTCGTGTGAAGACGAACGCTGATGGTTCCTTAGAGAAAATCAAGGCGCGATGGGTTGTCCGATACTTTGAGCAAACTTTTGGACTCAACTACGAGCTAACATTTGCTCCTGTCGGCGGACACACTAGTGTCCGCATCTTACTATGCTTCGCAGCCTGCTAGAATTTCAGACTTCGCCAAATCGACGTCGCCAAATCAACGTCGCCAATGCATTTCTATATGCACCCATCCACGCATTAATTCTGGTTGAGTACCCGCATTCTTACGTAACTTACCCTCCAAGCGTCTGCCGTCTCAGAAAGTCTCTCTACGACACTAAACAGGCTCCACGCCAGTGACAGCAGTATCTTCATGCTCATTTACTTGCTGCCGGGTTTCGACAGCTACCGCACAATCAAGGCATGTATTTACTTATCGACGGCCCTGGATACATTCTTCTCGTCGCTTATGTTGACACTTTGCTCTACGTTAGCACCATTGATTCTCTCGCTACTGCCTTCGAACAGAAATTTCAACAACACCTACAGATCACCATTACAACTACTTCCACACAGTTTCTTGGACTAAAAATTCACCGCACACCAACTGCTATTCATCGTACTGCTTCAAAGTATGCTGCTACACTAGCCGTGCAGTTTAATCTCACACCCTCGACAGTCACTACGCCTTACCGCTCTCTGCATATGGATTACAAACCCGATACAGCTCCGCTTGACAGCACTGAACATCAGCTCTATCAGCAGCAATTAGGTTGTCTCTTATTCGCAGCCGTAACGTGTCGTCCGGATCTCTCCTATTTTGCTAGCCAGCTCGCTCAATATCTGCGTCGACATGAGGGGAACAATTGGCTAGAACTTCTACGCGCCCTACAGTATTTTACTTCAATGCCTGAAGTCGAACATACCTATCAAGTTGTCACTACGAAAACTCTTTATCTTACCGGATATTTTGATGCTGATCACGCAGCAAATACTTCTAATTGTCTCGAACCTATCGTGACCATCTCCTGGAATTCTACAAAGCAAGAACGCATAGCCCTATCAACTGCTGAAGTCAAGTTTATAGCTCCTTGCACAGCTACTCGCGAAGGACTCTACCTGCAAGAGCTACTGGAGGAAGCAAAATTGACGACAAGTACACAGTTCATCTTGCAGTGCGACAATCAGAGTGCAATCAAATCGCGCACCAGCCTCGCCTCGCCAACAAGACGAAACACATTTCACTACGATATTTTTTCGTTAAGGATGAAGTCGAGAAGGGGAGAATGTGATTGGTCTACTGTTCGACCAATGAAATAGCTGCAGATTTTCTCACCAAGAAGCTGAGACGTCAGAAGTACCAGTACTGCAATGAGCTCTGCTGAATCATCAAGAAGTGACCCTGTCGGACTTCCAGAAATGAAGGGGAGTGTTGTGATAAATTCATACTTCAGCATTTCTGTAAGTAGATCAGATAGATATTATCGAGTTACTCTGTAGATTAGGCATCCGTAGAATGACGTCAACAAATAGCGCTCGTCTGGATGATTACGTCAGCAGGCTGTTTCAGTCACACAAATAGTCACACCCCCTTTCAGTAGCGATCAGAGCGCATAGCGCGAGTATATTTGAACAGGTACATTTACGAACAGGTACTTCTAGCATATATAAAAGTAGCCTGTCTCTCTTTTATCGTTAACTTGTTCTTTAGTAAATTCTAGACACCATTTACAAGTTCTAAGACTTCAGCTGTCTTACTACTCTTACCATTCCAGCCAAGATCCTTGCCTCCAGGTCTTGAAGTATCACAAGGCTGTAACACTAACTCTAGTGTTACAACTTGTGAATACTGGCTCTTACTAGAGGTCCTTCTAGTATTCTTTTGTACTTTAAGTACGTGTGTCGGCAGATTCTGTACCTAGTTTTGCACTGTTTTACAAATTCTTACATTTACAAAATATATTTCTTCAAATATATTACGTAGACACTAGGCTTGAAGCTTTCCCCCCCGGCTAGAGATGGGGAAGCGATAGCATATTTTTGTTATATAACAAAGACACACCACATGAATCGATGGGAAACAAAAATGTGTCAATTTATGTTGTTCCCATCATTCTTTGATGCGATTCTTAGTGTAGTTATAAATATTACACTACCCATGTAGTAGACAAGATCTATATCTATGAAATCATATCTAGACATTAGATGCTAGCATGTTAAAATAGCTAAGGGTTTAGGCTAGGTAGGAGAGAAAAATGTCGAGAGCAGGGCCTCAGATAGGAATTCTAGCATTCTGATCACTCAGGGCTGACCACTTATATGCATACTGATTCCTCAGGGTGATTCCCAAGTTCTATACTAAGGCCACAGGGTAAATTCTGGTACGCTGAAAAACTTGCCCAATGTTACAGAACACCAGTTTTCATGCATGTTGTGCTGCCAACCGCTTGGGCAGCAGCGCGCCATGGCAGCTAAGTGTCAGCGCTTCATGTGGTGATGGCTTGATGCAGTGCACTCGGCAAACTGACCAAGAAGTGAGAGCTAAGGCAGCAAACAAGGGGAAAACAAGGGTACCCCCGTCCCGTGGTGCATATAAATCAGGGTTATCCCTGAAGGCATACTGACAGTTACAGGGTGAGAAATGGGATCAAACTGAAAACTCAGGACTGGCACCTAACTTCCATCCTGAAAATCAGGAATTCAGGATAAAACATCCTGAAATCTGAGGCCCTGGTCGAGAGAAAAGAGAATCGACTAGGAAGAGAGAGAGAGAGAGAGAGAGAGAGAGAGAGAGAGAGAGAGAGAGAGAGAGAGAGAGAGAGAGAGAGAGAGAGAGAGAGAGAGAGAGAGAGAGAGAGAGAGAGAGAGATACAAGAAGGGGGGTTGTCCTCTCTACAGTA